ATTACTTAAAGTTATATAAAACCTATACTAAGTAGATATATAAAACTATACTATAGGTTTCTTTTTCTATTCTTTAGTAATATTATCTTAATCTCCTATAAGATTTATTAATTAATTAGTATAGAGATAAAATAACTAGTTAGGTTAGTAATACCTCTATAAGTAAATTAATTACTATAGAGGTATTAGATATATACCTTATATCTCTATTATATAGTTATATATTTAAATACTACTATAACTATAATAATTAATAGTAATTAAGGTACTAGTAATAGGTTTAATACGTTTTATATATAATATAGTAAAATACGTATTATAGCATAAAATTAGCTTTTTTTCATATTTTTACATAAGCAGGGAAAAAAAGGGGGGGCGGACGCTGTCAACGCAACGGACTGTACTTTCGGCTTAGCGCATGCCAAGACTGGACCTGCGAAGGGTTCCTTGATCTTCACCGTGGCCCCTGCTTGCACCCCCGACTTATCAGATTGCGACCCCTCTTTCGACGGTCTATGCTACGGCAGCAATGAGAAAATGAGTAAACAATCTCTTCGACATCCAGCTTGGCTAACGCTAGGGTTCACTATGCCTAGCAAGGCCGGATACTGATAGGAGAAGCCAATCTACATATTTATATATCATATCCGAGACTGCCATCCTCTTCTTGTATCGACTTAATCAGTCGTCTCGTTTCTCGGTACCGTCGTCATTATGATTTGGTCTCGAATCAACTCCATCGCTTTCTTCGGCTTCGTTGGCCTCGCGAAGGCAGATACTGCCTCCTTAAACGAGTCGACTGCCGTTCCAAAGTTCCACCTCACGCTGGCGCCGAGTCTGGTCCAGGATGACTATCGCCTCCATGGGAAAATCGTTTTAAGCAGGGCATGCGGTAGCAATGAAACGTTGGTAGTTTTGCCCAAGACTATCGCAAGCGTAGCATCTGCGCAATACGGTGCTAGCGGCTTGACGGCATCCGACAAAGAAGGGTCCCTGCCTCTGGACTTCCAGGAGGTAGCTCAAGGTCCATTCGGGTTACCAACTCAACAATGGACACCGAAAAGAGCCACAGAAGGGCCCGTATCGATCGATTTCACGGCAAAGCCTGCTTCTGTCAACGTCAGTGCCCTTCCAGGGCCTCATTTCGATATCAGGAACGCCACCGGAGGTCTCACTGGCTCGATGTGGGCTTTGGTACCAGTTCCAAACCCTCTTTCGGGTGATAATTACAACATCACCGTTTCTTGGAATATCTCGGCGGAGCAGGGCGCTGCATACACCTGGGCCGACGGTGTGGGACCTCACAGTCACAGCTTCGTCGGGCCTGTCACACGGCTGACCCAGACTTATTTCATCGTCGGCGATGTCAAGGGTTATCCGAGCATGCCGACTGGCCCTGATGGCAAATTTGGAATCTACTGGCTTGAGAAGACGCCTTTCGATATCGAAAAGGTTGGCCAGTACCTCCAAAACTTCTTGTCATACTCGACCAAATTTTGGCAAGACAACTCCACGGACCCATACCGCGTTTTCATTCGCATCAACGAAGAACAGCGTGCTGGGTCCGTCGGGACCGGCGCTGGCGGTACTGCCTTGCTGAGGTCCTTCTTATTTGGATACAACCGAGATGCCGGGCTGGCGCAGGACAGAGTCATCACGCTGTTAGCGCATGAGATGACACACAACTGGACACCGTGGTCTAGCGGTACCAATGCCGAACAGTCTCGGTACAACGAAGGAGGGGCGGAGTTCTGGTCCTTGAGGCTTCTTTGGCGCGCCGGCATGCTCACTACGGACCAATATCTCGACGAGATGAATACCAGAGCGGTCGATTATTACACTAATCCGACGGTTAATTACACCGACGAAAAAGCCCAGGAGGTCGCATGGGAGATTCGCGACGCCCAACGAATTCCGTATGGCCGAGGCATGCTTCACTTCGCCAACATCGATGCTCAGATGAGGGCCAAATATAACGGAACCCAGAAGCTCGACAACCTTGCGATTCCGTTCTTGCATGCTTGCCAGCAAAACGGCAACTGTGGCGCAGAGGAATGGTTCCCCTTACTTAAATCATCTTTGGGACAAGAGGCCGTCGACGGTTGGAACAAAGTATCGTCAGGCCAACCTCTTATGAAGCTTGCCGAGGGTAGCTTGGGCCCTTGTTTCGAGGTCGTGCAGAATGGGACCAGTCCTGTGGTCTATGTCTGGAAAGTCAAAGAGGGACTGAACACTTCTAGTCCGGACTGCTTGATATAGTGAATAGTTGGTTGCAGGGGCTAGGGAGCTTGGTTTGGCTGGGAAACACTGTAATTTCACCTTGCCCAGCTTCTTTATCTTATCTTGTGTGTTCGCGCTTCTTCTGTTGCAGGTGAATTTGGACAGAGGTCTGCAGCCTCAGGTTGTTCACTTTGAGGTTAACAGCTGTTCCATTCACCTAACCTCCTCTCTTCAGACGAGGAAGGGGCGCGTTCACACAGCCCTATAAATTCTACGCGCAAACGTATCTCGAGGTTATCTTTTCGTCCTCTACAAGCCCGAAGTTCTCCCAAAAAACCTCAGAACTCTTTACGCCATCCTTCGTCCTCGCCATCCCTGCCTTAGATCGTCGCTTTCGGTCCTCCTTGTCTCTCATCTTCTCTATCCCTGATCTCGCCCGACACTGATAACCGCTGTCTTTGTCTTCTTCTGCCTTTGGTTGCACTTGCCTTTGGCATCGCACATCCTTACCATCGCTTCTTATTGCTATCGCCATTGTCGTCGCTGTCGTCATCCAGATTCACAGGTTTGTTCAATAAGAATACCTCTCCAGAAATAGAGACCAGAGCTAAAAGCTGACATTCAAACAAGAGACCCAGCAATCATGGCCGTATTCTCGCGCCCTACTGAGCTATCCGCAGCGCAGAAGAAGTCATGTGACGACCTTCTCGCTGCTCTCATCCAGAAGAGCTACCCCGTCCATGCCCCCACTATCGACAACATCCGTCAGGTCCTCTGGCAGAAAGTCTTTGCCGACGGCTGGACGACGGAGGCACCCAACCCGGGCCCAGGTCTCCTCCGCAAGAGAACAAGCGAGGAGACTGCCCTTTACATCGGTACCCTCAATGAGGATGTGCCCATTAAATCCAAGAGCAGGGCTATCCCCGACTACCGCCGCGACCGCCACCCGGTGATGTTCAAGGCGTCCTTCCAGTTTGGCGACAAGCTGGCATTCTTCTGGGTGGATGCCCAATTCCAGAAGATTCCTACCGAGTCCGTTGACGTGGACGGAGACCTGTCCTACGAAGATATTAGAAGTATGGTCGCATCTCACTACGACACGAACGAGATGGATCGCGTTGGTGGCTGGAACTGGGCCAAGGTGGTGCACTGGGCTCGTCATCGCACCACCGTTCTCGCTCGCCGCACCAATGCCGGCGTGGGAGTGATTGGTGTCCGCCCCGCGCCCCTTCCTGACGTGGAGGAAGATCTGGGGGAGATTCAGAAAGTGCGCCTTGTGGAGCAGTACCTCCGCGAGCAGGAGGATGATGATGATGACGCCTAGACAGAATGGATTGGTTTCTTCTTGTTTCTCTGTTTGGCTCTGGCTTGGCTTCGGTTTGGCGGCGGCGTTTGGCAGATATACCCTAATCGACTCGCGAATACTACTTTCTTCTTGCGAAAAACTATGATGACTAGTGCAATATCCGACCATTAACTACTTCTACTACTCTAAAACGTTGAACGGTCAATGATGCATTGTTACCATTCAAATATTGCAACGAGCATGGATGTTTCCCACCCTCGCAGGCACAGGACGCTGTAAATCCAACAACTTGTCCGTCCCGGAGGAGGTCAAAGTCTCACCCCTCTACAGGACCCAGATGAGAACAGCAGTGCTAAGGAGGCTACGCCCGTAGATGATCGTGGTAACAGGCGACCTGAGTTGGTGACGTTGGAGTCGCTGGACCAGATACGGCCCCCGCAAATTACGTTAAATCATATTTACTCGATGGTATTGACGGAATTTACTATTCACTACTTCGAAACATCTTTCAGGCTCGAAACCGCCACAAGTCGGGGTGAAAACAGTCACCCGGCAGCATTCACTGGCACATTCTATGAGCTGATGCAATTGTCGGAACTATATAAGCCTTCTTACTTCTTGCTTGAAGACTTTCTCTGTCTCTCTTCTCTTATCACCGAGGATAGTGACAGGATACCAACAACAATAACGACCGCTCACCACACGCAATTGACGCAAACGAAAAACGCACAAACCAAAGCCAGCTCGTCACATGATACATCTGCGAAATGCCTTTGGGACGCCGACTTTCCTGGAGCGGAGAGTTCCCCGAGGAATTGCGCTTCCTTCGCATCGGCAGAAGAAATTCGACAGCGAATCCTCGCGACAACCGTGGGTGCCAGAGAGTAACCGCGTACAAGTCGTTTGACGACGTTCCCACCAGAGAGATCACGGCCTGCCGCGATGTATGGGAGAAACTTGGAGAGACCCTCGGACCCCAATTCAAGTTTGAGCCTATCGACATCAATGGTCTCTGGGATCTGGTCTTTGAAGACGGCTGGACGACTGCCGACTCCGCCGGCAAGCGTCCCGAGCCTGCTCCTCGTGATGATTCAAAGTTGATCGTCCACGTTGGAAAGTGGATGACAGACCTTCCTAAGGCTTCGGTACGTTCTCTTGTCCTCTAGCGATATCGATCTAACTTCCGGGATAGGACGACATGCCCGACATTGAGGCACGTCGTAAGTGGCGCGCCGCCTACGTCAAATACATGTGCACCTCTGATGATCACATCTTCGGCTCAACATTCATCTTTTGCGACAGGCACGGTCAGGAGGGCCCCCAGTCTGCCATTCAATTCCTTGGCGAAAACTTCAATTACTTTGGCAGGGCTGTCGCAAGGTTTGAGCAACATGAGATGGACCGTCTCAAGACTTTCAATGAGGATCTTGCCGTTTACATCGTGAGACGCCGGTTGCAACTCTGGAGCCAAGATGGATTCAAGCACCCTTACGCAGATCCTCACGGTCGCGATGATGAGGAGCTCCAATTCTATGTCTCCGATCCGCAGGACATGCAAGCCTTCAGAGAAATGGCTCGTCCCATGGCAATTCTCCATATGATGGCCGAGGCATTGACGGAATACAACGAGGAGAAGATGGTAGATCGTCGGGACAGAAGAAGATATTGATGGGAATGACGACGAAGTTCTGGGGGGATTTTATACCACTACCCGGGGTTGCGGGCGACAGCTGTATTGCAATTTGCGACACCTTGCAGAGAGGTTACGGGGTTTAAACACCCAGCGAGTCTAGTTAATACACATCCATCAAATGAAGCGCAAGCATGATTGGGGACGTATTTGACGCAATTGTTCCCGCTTAGGCACGGAAAAGAATTCGCCAGGAGATTGCGGTCTAAGATAGGTGCGCCGTGAACTTGGTTCGTGTGAAGGTGAAGCAAATCGTCCCATCTCCACAACCTCCACTCCAAACAAGTTTCCGCGACTCCAACTCTGAGCTGGCCGAGAATGGCGCTAACCCGATATGGGCATTATTCTGAGAAAACTGAAGCAACAGGGATTCCGTGTAGTTGACCTCTTCCCCGGTCCATCTTATCTCCCCAACATGGACACACATTTCAGTTATCTTTGGTTGGGCAGCCCCATGTGAGGCAGATGGCTGCTGGACAACCCTTCACATAGCTAAACTAAAAAAAGGCAATATCCTGAGATTTTAGGGTACATATGTGTCATGGATGACCTGGGTTGTCCTCAGATGTATGCAGATGGTCGATATAAAGACTCTTTGTGAGACAGCAAGAACTTTTGCGTAACCAAGACTTCAGCGTTTATTATCTCCATAATGCCGTCAGCCGATATGCCCACTACTACACCGCCCTTGGCGCGCTACGACGCCACCGACCCCTCAACCACACCTGAGAAGTTGGTCGAGATCATCAACCGTGATGGTGGAGTTATTGTCGAGAAGCTCATCACTCGCGAACTCGCGGAGTCCATTAAGAAGGATCTGAAGCCTTACTTCGATGAAGATATCCCTGATAAATATGGCTTTTTTCCACCCACAACCCAGAGAGCTTCCGGACTGCTAGCAATCTCGGACAACTGCGTCGAACTCGCCTGCAACAAACTCTACACTGACGTCGCTAATCTCATGGTTTCCTCGTCTTACACTTTCTGGAGGGGTGATCATCAGAAGACCGTGAGCGGGAAGCCTATCATCTCCTCAACTGTCGGCTTCCGAGTCAATCCAGGCGGCAAGCGTCAGGTCTTGCACCGCGACGACAAGTAAGTTCAATAAGGGCAATCATTGACTCAATGTCATGAACTGACGAGTCTCCAGTGACTATCACCCTCACGATAAGAAGTTGCCCGTGATGATTGGTTGCGTGACTGCATTGACCAAGACAACGGCCGCGAACGGTGCTACTGTGATCATCCCGGGGTCTCATCTCTGGGGACCTGAGCGGCGGCCGTTTGATGAAGAAACTGTTCCCGCCGAACTTGAGCCCGGCGATGCTTGCATCTTCCTTGGGAACACTTATCATGCGGGCGGTGGCAACATTACCAAGTACGTTCTTTGATCGACGATTTCCTTGACGAAAGCCATCCGAACACGAATCGCTGACATTCTCAGGGACGAGTATCGAGAAACCGTGGGAATATTTCTCTGTCAGCCAACGTTGCGTCCGGCCGAGAACCAGTTTCTCATGGTACCGTTGGAGAAAGTCAGGAAGATGAAGCCCCAGGCCCAGAGACTTCTTGGATATGGTTTATGTGAGCCGGGCGTAGGCTTCATGAAGTACCAAGATCCGATGAGAGTATTGTTTGAGGTTGAGGATGAAGAGACTGTCGACTTTTGAGCTTCTTATAATTTTATTACATGTTGTAGCCTCGCTTTCGTATGTAGGGCAGTAGGAGTAGGAGTAGAAGTAACAAATACAACTGGTGGTGCTCAAACGACAAGAATCCTCTTGCCGGATGCTTCTTTGGCTCGAGCAAGTGGTCGCCAATCGGCATCTGAACCAGCCCAGAATTCTGCTAGGAAGTTGACCGCGTCTCTGTAATGATTGAATCGAGTAGCCTGATGAATAGACGTGAACAAAGCCAAGATCGTTTTCTGTCGCTCTTTGTCGCCATGACATGCTGTCCCAGCAATGAAAGTTGGCCAAGCTAGATTCTGTATGAATGCCGTTTGATCCTCGAATCCTGTGAGCTGGTCAAAGAGATTGTTGCATGCTGTTGTTCGCTCGGAGCCGTCTTCGTGTACACATTCCAGACATTGGAACGAGTACATGAGTCCTGCATTGTGGTAAACCTCGACCAGACGAACGAAGTCGCGAGTCATCATTGACCCATTGAGGCCGAGCCGGCCGGCTGCCATCAAGGTGGAACCTCGAGCTTGTTCGAACTCCGATCGGATCATATTCGTGGTCCGTGAATGCTGTGGGAATTCACTGGAGGACCCGGTCTCGACAACCTCAACAGAAGCGAGTGTAATTCGATGTAGAAACGTGAGGTATCTCGAGAAGAGCAAGGAGTCCGATCCCGGTACGGGCTTGATTGCGTTGTTGATCAAAGATCGATCAAATGAAGTACTTGCCGTCGTCACATCGTCGATGGCAAGCTGATTGCGCAAGAAAGAGAAGAGCTGTCGTTCTTCAATAGCACTTGAACTGTTGAATAGGTTGACGATGGTGCGGGCAGCTCTTCTGTGCTCGTCGGCTACCTCGGGACAGCATCGGTCGTAATTGGTCATGATGAGGATGGACGCAAGCATCCACTCAGCATCAACAGCATCGGAATGATCGTCAAGCTCCGACCCTTTCATGAGCTTATCCGTCATTTGCTGGGCCCGAAGTTTGATCAGTTGCAGGCACTTATCCCGGGCATCCTCCGCCATCGCTGCGATGGCTTTGTTGGAGCAGCTCATAGAACCGTGCTGAGCCACGAATGCCAGGATAGCAAAGCCGATGGCAGGCTGGTGTTCGGCGAGAGGGATGACTTGTTTCCGGTAGTCGTTCTCTTCAGAGTCCAACCAAACCATGAAGCCGGCTAGGTTTCGACGGTAATACTCCATGAATCTCGCGCCCGTGGCGAAAGATTCCGTGCTCGGGGAAGCGGCCAATTCGAATATTGTCAAACCCGATGTAGGTACTAACGCTTGAGTACTCGGGATATTAGTTACCAAGTCGGCATCTTGTGGAGGATTCTCTGAGGCTGCCGGCATTTGTGGAGACCCCGGAGGGGAAGCCCGGGTTGGAACCGGTCGGCCTCGAAGATGGCCCCTCGCTGCAACGCCGTTGACCCATCGAAGCGGGCGGTTGTAGCCGGGGCATTCTAACCCTTTCTTGTAGCATTTATGGCAAGTTGGCTTCTGAAGATCGCAACGAATCCGACGTCGCTCACATGTCGCACAGCCTGAAGGGCGATCAGTTTCTGACGCTTGACGGTCGTTGGGAAGTGACAATGACGCGCACACCTTTGTCAAATTTCAGCTGTGCGCCTGAGTCCTTTTGGACATCCTGCCTTCCTCGTCCTGGCATCCCGATACATGCATGCTGGCCGTGCTGGTTGATGATATGGTAGGTAGCCCGCTCTCCGGGATCTGTGATGTGTGAGAAACTTTCTTGATGCGGGGCCGTGGCCCAGTGTCCCTATCAAGCTTTCCGCACAACCGTCCGGTCTCCACTCGGCTTCCGGCCGGGCTGACTCGTTACCGCGATGATTGGAAATTCTCTAAGCACGACCTATCACTATCTAGACCAGTTTCGACTTTTCTGACTGCGTGAAGGTTCGAAAACAAACCCCTCCTATTCCTTGCTATCATAACTTCGGCCCTCCGGACTTATCGTCTACCTCTTCCATTGGCGCATTTAGCCTGCGCTTCCGCGGGGTCAGTATTACTAGCCCGGGCGGCTTGGGTCGGGTTTGCAGCTGCGCGAATCATTTTAGCTCCATTTCATTGTTGCCTAATCTCACTTGCCTCGCGTTTTTCATCAGCTTCAGAACGATCATCTTTTCGCCAAGCTTCACACGCGAGGTTTTGCGGCACAAGCACTGCAGCAAGCAAAGGCACAGCTTGACGCATCATCCTCACCTTGAGGTGATACCTCTGCACGATGGAGCAAGAATGCATCAAGAAGGCCACCATCTCGCCGCATTGGCTTTCCAATGAGAGCTCCTTTTGGTATCGCCGGCATCTATCTTCGGGGAAATTCGAGTTCGTCCTCGTGGATTGCGTTAACAAAACACGCCAACCAGCGTTTAATCATGGGGAACTCGCAGCTGTTTTGAAGCAGAAAGTATCCCCCCGAGATCAAGACATAGACCATAGCTCATTACCATTTACTTGGATTGATATCACACCTGACGGATCGTCGATTCATTTCTTCTTTGAAGGGAGGAGATGGGCCTTTGGCAACGATGGTAAACTTGTGGAACTGGAGGGCACCTTCGACCAACCCCGGACCCAATTCCTTGCCAAGGAGCGTCCTTCCAAGTCTACGAAGCAGATCGTGACTGTCAACTTCGTCAACCATACCGAAGGGCCTTTGTCATCGTACTGGATCGACTTCAACGGCAAGCCCAAACTATATCACAAAATTGGACAAGGGCAGACTCATGAGCAGCAGACATTCTCGGGACATGTTTGGAAATTGGTCAATGATGAGACGAAAGAATTGAAGGCGATCTACGTTGCTCCTGAGGAATCTGAAGATGTTGTCGTCATCGAAGAGAGCACTATGGAAGAGATGAAGTTCAAGAACGATGAACCAAAAGAAGACACGAATGACAACGATGAAACGGACACAAATGGATCCGCAGCTCTAGATGAGAAAGAAGAACCTCAAAACAAAAGCCAAGTCTTTGTTCGAGACCACAATGTGTGGTTTCGCGATGCTTCCGGGAAGGAGTCGCAGATGTCCTCCAATGGCACCGAAGAAAACCCATTCGACAAGGCAAGAATCATTCGATCGCCCAATGGGGACTTTGCTGTCGTCTGGCAGCATACCCCGGAAGAGGAACATGTGCTCCATCTTCGAGAGTCAGCTCCATCAGATCAACTTGAGCCGAAGGTGCGGACTGTTCAGTACTTGAAGCCGGGCGATCGCGTCAGAGTCGACCGGCCTCGGTTGTTCAGCTTGAAGTCCAAGGAAGAGATCAAAACCAGCGATGATCTATTCCAAAATCCATACAGCATCGAGAATATTGGCTGGAACGATGACAGCACAGAGTACCGCTTCATTTTCAACGAACGCGGCCACCAGCATCTTCGTCTGTTAGGCATACGCACTATGGGAGAGGTCAGACGCTTGATTGAGGAGGAGAGCGATACCTTCATCGACTACTCGAGCAAGTCCTACCACCGATTAATTGCGGGGACGGACGAGATGGTTTGGATGAGCGAGCGCGACGGCTACAATCATTTGTACCTGTTCGACTTGAAAGATGGAAAGCAGAAGACCCAAATCACGAAGGGGAACTGGAATGTTCGCTCTGTCGTTGAAATTGATGAAACGAGCCGTCAAGTGTGGTTAAAAGGATATGGGATGATGGCGAACCAAGATCCGTATCACGCTCACTTGGCTTGCATTCGTCTTGACGGAACTGGCTTTCAGGTGCTCACTGAAGGTGACGGTACTCATGAGTGGACGTTCTGTCCGAACAACAAGTTCTTCGTTGACACCTGGTCGCGCGTGGACTCCACCCCGCAATCTGTCCTCAAAAGTCTGGAAACTGGTGAAGAAATTCTTTCGCTTGAGGGAAAGACTGAGGATACTCAGAAGCTACTTGCCGATGGTTGGGTAGCCCCTGAAAGATTCACGGCCCCAGGACGAGATGGTGAGACCGCGATATACGGAATCATCATCCGTCCTGCTAGCTTCGACGCTTCAAAGAATTATCCAATCCTTGAAGATATCTACGCTGGACCTCATGACTTTCATACGCCCAAGGCATTCTCGGTTCTAGTTAAGCAGCGGCAATGGGCGGACCAGGGATATGTGGTGGTTCTCCTAGATGGCATGGGAACAAATTGGCGATCGAAAACGTTCCACGACGTTTGCTACAAGAATCTCAAAGATGCCGGATTCCCTGATCGCATCGCATGGATTAAGGCTGCAGCGGAGATGCGCCCGTGGATGGACACTTCAAGGGTTGCCATCATGGGAGGCTCAGCGGGAGGGCAAAGCGCTGTCGCCGCGCTCATCCATCATAACGATTTCTACAAAGTCGCCATTGCTGATTCAGGATGCCACGATAATCGTATGGACAAGATATGGTGGAATGAGCAGTGGATGGGTTTTCCTGTTGACAAGTCTTACGAGGACTCGTCAAATGTGGCTCATGCGGAAAAGTTGCAGGGTGCTTTGATGCTGATCGTGGGCGAGCTCGATGATAATGTTGACCCTGCTTCAACCTTCCAGCTAATCAAAGCTCTGAATGATGCGGACAAAGAGTACGAGTTCGTGTTCATCCCTGGCGGTGAGCACTGTGGTGGGCGAGCGAAATTCGCCCTGAGACGACAGGAACACTTCCTCCGGCAGCATCTTCTTGGCTAAACTCAATCAAGAACACCTGCATCTATAATATGAATCAGAACATCTTATATCTACGTGGATAGAATCAAACTAGGTTCTTTCAACTTCCTCAAGTTGTGTACTTAAAACCCTTGTACTCTATATCCGTCAGGTCTAGCCAATCCTGCGAGGCTGCGGCCTGTTCATCTGCCTCTGCATCTCTGCGACGGTTACTCATGGCACAAAGAGCACCGTATGCAAGGACGCAAATCATAGCTACCACGTAGCACACAATCATGGCAATAGTACCCCCGGTATAGGCTGGTGCTTGCTCTTGGCGAAAGGTCTGAGGTCCCACAATGTTGCCAGCTGCCCAAGCCACATAGAACCAAGCATAGAGTGTCACCTTCTTCGTATGTCCAGCGATGTTTGCCTGGTACACAGAGACCAAGGTGACATAAGGCGCCCAGTATGTGTAAAGTATGCTGAAGCAGATTAGAATCATGTACCAAGTATCCTCGGGGGCACTGAACTTACTAAAGACCAATGAGCTGACCAGCGAGGTTGTCGCGGGGGAGGTTGTAGCACAACAACGCGCCAAAGAGAGGAAGTAGGATTGAGCCTGCTACAATCGGAGTCCGATATTTGCGGGTTGTTGACGCGATGTAAGACAGAACAATACCGGAAATGGTACTCATCGCACCAGGTGGCATAGCTAGTAGGGAAGTCTGAAGAGGGTTGAAGCCCAGCCCAGAGATGATAAGCGTGTTGAATGTAGTCAAGCCACCATTAGGAACTTGGAGCGCAATAATGGCGAACCAAATCAACCAAGTTTTGACATCCGCAAAAGCCTCCTTGACCTGCGCGGGCTTAAAAACCTTGTTCTCGATGCCAGTATTGTCAGACGCCTTTCGCTGGATGATGATGTACCTCTCTCGAGGACTCAGTCTCTTCGCCTCAAGCGGGTTGCTGGGGAGAAAGAAGAAAATGACGGCAGACCACGCGATGGTGACACAACCGACGAGAAGGAAAACAATTTTCCACTTCGCATAAGATCCGTTGTAGTAGCCAATCACCCATGCCACAAAGCCATTGATAATGGGAGCGACAACATTGAGAATAATGCTATTGCGGCGGGGCTGCTCTTCTGGACGATACCACATGGACGTAATCAAGGTGACAGCAGGGATAAGCAAAGCCTCAAAGCCGCCAAGAAGAAAACGGCACGCAAAAAGAGCACCAAAGCTTTGGCATGCGGCCATGGAACAGGCAAGAACGCCCCAGCATAGAACGGCGAACGAGAAGTAAACGACAGCTGATAGCCTAGCCGGACGCATCATGTCAGTACATACGCTCTAAATTCTGTGCATGACCTAATCGTACCTCTGAATAAAGTAGGCTGACGGGCCCATGAACAAAAGGCCCCCAAAGAATGGTGCCGAGCCGACCCATGAGTACTGCTCGCCTGTCAGGTTGAGATCTTGGCGAATGCCATAGATGGCGGCGGCTGAGATTGCGGTCTTGTCAAGGCCAGAAAGCGTTGCACAGACAAAAAGCTTTCCTCGGTCAGTAGGGTGAAGGTACGTGATAACTGGTATGGGCAACTTACGATCGGAACAATCATCCAGTCAACCTTCCGAATCAAGCGCTTCTCTTCTTCAGGAGTCCAGCTTCTGTCGAACTCTTCGCCATAGTCGGCAAGAATCTGGGCAGCGATATCGACATCTTTGCCCTGGCCATTCTCCAGAGCCTTTACCGCTGGCTTGGCTGCGGGAGTCTGGTCATTAAGACTGGAAGGAACCTCCTTTTCAGAGGTGCTTTCATCTTTGGGATTGCCCATAACTGGCTTATTCGTTGAACGTCAGATGGTAGAAATCCAGAACGTTTTGATAGGATATTCCAGGCGAAATCTCCAGAGCGGAACTGCTGCAAACTTTCCGTCCCAACTGAGAGGCGTTGGTTGTGTTTTATGCGCTGAAGATCATTTACTGAATCTCAAAGGTTCAACAGTACAATACACCGACTGCGGTATCAGACCTTACTATCAAGCCACAAGTGGTCCAACCCAGCGTCGGCCTGATAACATGAATGGCGAATGATACTGCCTCGCCTTTGTGGAGCTTCACACGGACGCATAAGCAAAAGAAGCACTAGAAATCGGTGAGTTAACCGAATCAATCGATTGTTGCCTTCTGATCAGAGTCTCTACTACTCTTGGGAAGGAGGTTGGCCGCGATAAGCCAGGACTGCCTATCTTATCGTTGGCCGCGGTGATCGCGCGGCCAACTCCATCTCGGCCAACACCTGTCACCCGCCGCACGCTATGCAAAGATCGCGCGCAAGGTTCTTGGTGGAACTGTGGGGAAATAATTGGACATGCATGGTTTCCTAGAGCTGTTGAGCGTCAGACCAGGTATAGTCATATTGAAGGTAGGATAGAATAAAAGACGAACGCAGCGACCAGAAGCCTGAGCCATCTGAGAAATCAATTGTCGCCATAGTAACATCAACTATCTCTCACCTTCATCATGATTGCCAAAGAGGAGCCTACTGTAGAAGTGCAAGTCAACAGGAAGGGTGGTCCCCTCTACCCCGACTACCTCCGTAAGATATTCCCCTGTGGATATGGAAGGCCTTCAACAAAAAAGCATTAACATTATCTGTCAGCGCACTATGACCCTCTCGAGCAAGTTGAGCCTGTCGGAGCTTTCGAGCATGATGACCCCGGTCACCGCGCCGACCCGAAGATGCCCAACCTGATCAGCGAAGGTGTCCAGTCCATCGAACTATCTCCCCATTGCGGCACCGAGTTGCGAAATGTCCAAATTGTGCGTCTAGTTGTCTCCAAAATACTTCCACATTGACTGACGAAAGTTTAGTCTGAGCTGTCAAATGCTGGTTTAGACGAGCTCGCTCTCCTGTGCGCACAAAGGGGATGCCTTGTCTTTCGGGACCAGGACTTCACCAACCTAGGCTTTCAAAGACAGAAGGAGATCGCATCATACTTCGGCCCACTCCACAAGCACGGCTGGATGCCGCACCCTAAGAACGGACCCGAGGAGTTCGTCATTGTCTACGATAGCAAGGAGGATCTGCGCATCCGCAAGTCGTGGTCTCGAAAGAGTCCCGTCCAGTTCCACGTCGATCAGTCACCCGAAAGTCAGCCTCCAGGAGCCACCTTCTTCTGCATGCTTGAATCCCCTCCAGGGGCTGGTGGCGATACCATCATTTCCAGCGTAAGATCAAAAAACAAATGAGGCTTGGAAATAAGACACTAAATTACGAGACAGACCGTCCAAGCTTTCAATCGACTCTCTCCATCCTTTCGTAAGCGCCTTGAAGGTCTCCAGGCTATTCATACAACTGCGAAGCCCATTGAGCGCGAGATTCGCGACAATGGTGATGCTGCTGTACTCCGGCGGCCTATCACCAAGTCTGTCCACCCCGTTGTGACCGTTCACCCGGTTACTGGGCAGAAGAACCTGTTTGTCAACTCGTCTTATACCCAGCGCATTGTCGGCTGGGATGACGAGGAGTCGGACTACCTTTTGAAGTTTCTATTTGACCATATCAACCGTGGTCATGACTTCTGCTGTCGCGTCCGGTATGAGCCAGGCACTGTTGTCATTTGGGATCAGCGCGTCACCCAACACTCTCAGACACTGGATTACCAAGCCGGGGCCCGCAGACATGCTTTCCGACTCACACCTCTTGCCAATGTCCCGATCCCCAGTAAGGTTGAGGAAGATGACGGGGAGTGCCAAAAGGACGACGGAAGAATGTTGCTGAACCTGTGTTAAACACGCCGGACAGAAGTTAAAAGTCTTTGTCATATTCTGTATACGTGTTTGAGTTGGTCTCGTCAGTAAATGGAATTTCACAATAACAGGCTTTGTTTGAGTTTTCATGCAATCTTCAGTCATATTCCCTCGCTATGAATGATTTCATTCACTTGCTAAGACAAAGTATTCGCCTCGGAAGCCAACAATCTTCCAAGCATTGTCTCGACCCTCAATAGCCCCAAATTAGCCAGCCCCTTCGCGCCGGCGGCTCCTGTAGCAGATGCCCGAGTCGCGCTTCTCCACCTCGTGATCCATCCTCGAAGTTCTTTGTCCTCATCATCAAACCCAAGGTCTCCCTCATCTCCAACGCTGAAACGAATGGCATTATATGCTGATGTGATGTGCAACAAGTGCACCATAAATGAACCCCCAATGGCGAAGTTTTGTCGACTCCAGCTGTGCCAGAACCCATTCCACTGAGAGCCGTGTATGTTTTCCAGCATCTCTACAAACTCTTTGACGCAAAGAATTGAGCCTTTGATTACTGCTTTTGCGGCGGTAAACAGTCCTTCGGCCTCATTAGGAGATTGTAGCGCAATGGCAGGCCAGCGATCAAGAGGCCTGAGTAAAGCGCGGAACAGTGTCATGTGGGTAATGATATAGCACAGATAAACTGCACCGATACCATACATCTCGTCTTCGCCGTTTTGAGTTGGTGTTCCAGCATCATGAGCTGCCGATACCTGATGTTTTCCTATGAGTGTTCGGTATCCCGAGGACAGATTATCACGCCATTCCTTCAGCCTTGCACGAGAAGAACGAGCCAAGTCTAAAGAGAGTGGCAAGTCATGCGCTGTTCTCCCGATGCCGCGAGTTGTGTAGTACGTCTGTTGGATATCTGACATGATGCACGTCATCTGCACTAGCTCGCACAGGTGTGTTCTGCTGTGTGTGGATGTAGAAATGGAGTCGTCGACATCTTCCGGCCTAAGGTCTGGGACGTCAAAGTCGTCTAGATGGATGTGGCTAGGCATGCCTCTTGTCAGAGAAAACCACTTCTCCATCGTCCACGTAGCCCACCACAATCGCTTCCGAAGCCTGCGTTCCCAAGGTGGCACAGACTCCCAAAAAGAAGGGTCTTGATGTAGTCCAATGGTTTGTGCTACTGCGACTGCACTGGAAACAAGAGACCAAGAGAAAGCGGTATCTGAGAGATAAGGGTTTGTGGGGAGTCTCTGTTGAAATAAGAGACAGGCCTGTAATGTTGCCAGAGAAGGAGCATGGAACTGCTGGGAGATATCCAGCCAACATAGACGATATAACTGCTGGCTTGAAGGTGGATGTAGGAGTAGGCCATACAGGCTTTCATCGTGCATAATGAATGGCAGGGCTGATGCGCATAAGGCCGCCAGTAGTCCCAAAGATATATTGCTGAGTTCTCCGGGACCTGATGGAAGTTGCTGAATGGCGACGATGGGAAAGCATGGATCCACAAAGCGGCCATAGAGCTGTATAAGGCGCCATGCTGTCTGGGGATCAACGATGCTCCAGAGTTCTGCCCAAGCACCATCGATGACGGAGCTTTCGACCTTGGGCTCGGCATTTGCTAAGAGCTTCTGGTCTGTGATGCCAAATATGACAGGGTGGTTTTGCGAAGCATCCTGTTTCAAACGTCTATATTGAAGACCGCTCAATCTAGGGCGAGCAACATCATGGTCATCATATTGCTCGCGGTTGAGGAGGTGAATATCGGCTGCTCCGGTGGGGCCTATGAAGAAGCTGAAAGCCCCTGGTATTGCTTCAAGAGATCGATGTAAATGTCGGTTCTCGGTCAATGCAGCGGGGTGATTTAATGTCCCTATTTGTGATTCTCGTGCCAGAGAGAGACCATGATATGATTGCGGAGAGGTTTGAGAGGAGTCATTATCTCTCGAGGAGGTTTGTGAAGGTGTCTCAGTTCGAGCTGAGGCCACACGATTCTGTGTCAAAAGCAGGGGATGATGAAGTTGTTCAATATCGCCGGCCAGGAGATCCTTCTCTGTTAGGTCGAAGAAGTCCGGGATGGGAAAGTCCTGGTGAGCATGTTCCCAAAAGCTGTCCATCAAGTTAGTCGAGTGATTTCTGAATGCGATTTTCACGCTGACTTTGAATGCGACATCGCCGCCTCAACAGGCGACGACGCTCTCTTCCTTTTCCTTTCTCCCGGGCCTTGAACAAATGTACACGATAAGCTACGAGTGGAGCACCGATGACATGGTGGGCCTTTCGGCATGTCGCAGACAACCTTTCTCTTCCGGCAGCAGTCGCATGGTCGTGACTTTCGTGACTTGTAGAAGCGGCCAACTGGGGGCGGGCGCGCAGGGGTTGGTGGTTGGGGTTGTTCCATGCTGTCGGTTCAGGCTAGATGCCGAAGATCAGAGGAGCGGCCAACACTTTGAGTGAGAGAGCCTGGAAACAATCATTGAACGCCAAACAGTTATCACAGATAAAAAATTTAAGAAAAAAATACATTGTTTGGTCTCTGAGGAACGATAACAATGATAAGTCCGTAGGGATTTGATAGGAAGGATTCCATCTTGATAAGCTTATCTACGTAGGCTCGGCCAGTCATGGCCGCTCCTTTTTATTAGTGACAAAACGGCACCTAAATGAGTTGCCCCTCATTCGCCAGAAGCACTCCGCGAGTTGAGGCGACAAGCCCATTGCCGGGATCATGACGCCTGGCGTTTCGCCCCTGTTATTGCAAAATGACGGAGAAAGATAGGCGCCTGGGCTTCTGCTACAGCGTCGCCTCCAATTGCAGCAGCTCCTGCAAGTAGGGGTCGGCAAACATACTGTCGGCAAGGTCATCGGACATTGAGGGCAGTGGACGGCGGGACACAGCGCTGTACCCGAATTTCCTGCTCAGTAGTTTCTTCACTCCGTGTATCTGAGAGACTGTCAGTATCTTGGTGAGTTTGAAGAAGGGCTGCTCGATGCCGCCAGCGACTCGGACTCACACCCATCTTGAGCTGCACGCGGTCGGCCAACGAGATCAGCTGTTGTAGCTCCAGCGCTTCTTTGGCTGTGTCGTGAGATTGGCAAAGGTCCCAGAGCTTCACGCAAGCTTTCTATGGAAGGTTAGAGATGTTTCTTTGGTTGATGTTTCTTGTCATTCGATGGACCCACGGGAGCAAAATTGGGCAACCCGCTGATGGCGCCCCCAGCGCCGACCGCCACTGACGGCAGAAGGAAGTCGATGAAGCCGTCTATGGCAGTGAATTCAAGGTCCTTCGTTCGCCTGGGATACTTTGCTTTGAAGTCCGGGCTATTCGCCTCTGCCAAGATGCGCGTAAGTTTCCCCACGTTTGCGCAGGTAAGCTTGATGCCGCATATGTTTGGTGATCCTTTGATGATGTCTACAACGAGGTCGCTATCCATGTCGACCCCGCCTGAAACAGCAGGAAAGTTGTAGATGATGCTGCGAGCCAAGACACATCAGCGCTTTTCTATAAGGCAAATTGGCGGTGCCTTACATTGGTAATTCCGATGCCTCTGCAATATCAACAAAGAAACTTTTGATCGAGTCCCGATTGGCGATTAAAGCTCCTGCATAGTATCCTGGCGGGATCACCATACCGTAGTCAGCGCCCGCTTCAGCGGCATCGCGAGCGAGCGAAATCGATTCGCGGGTACTAGCGCCCCCAACGCCGGCAACGATGGGAACATCTGAACACCCGATGCGATCAAGGGTTTCTCTTGCAGTCCTGATCAATTCGATTCTCTCTTCACGATCCTTGAGAAATAGTCAGGTCAGCTAAGCGACAAGCATTAGTCGACCGCTCTCGGGTACGAACCAAATGCACCGCCTCGCCTGCACTGCCCGAGATGACTGGTATTGTGCCCGCCTGTGCTATGACTGCTTTCTGTCAGCAATCCGAACTAGAAACTGGAGCGATCACAGGTTTGGCTATACATTTGAGGTGGTTCACAAAGCTTTCAAGATCTGTCTATGTGTGAGTTCTTCCAGAACATGTCCGCTCTGGGGGGGGGCGCACCTAGATCCTCGTTCTGCTTGAAGAAGCAAGGGAGTGGAGTGTAGATACCCCTCGGCAGCGGCCTCATCTTTCCGGAAGCTGGTCAAAATCAGCAAAACTGTCTAATAGAATGTCTCGATTTCAATAAACAAGCTTAATACCTCGATACCAATTATAAGAATGAGTGCCGTTTCTCGGGATCTTGAGCCGGCGTCGGCCGGCGCGGCGGACCGGCCCCACTTCAGCGAGGAGTGCGGCCAACGATAAGATACCATTAGTAGCGTTCGACATCAATCGCACGATAGGTGATTGTGCTACTTGTCGTATATCAACGGGTACAATAGCTGTGTCCCCACCTAGTCTATGATTGACGAGATCGAACAATAGAGGTCAAACAGAATGAATATAATAACGAACTATTCTATACATGAATCTATGTCGAGACGAAAGCTGATAAGACAGGTAATATGCAAATTCAGAAAAAATATAGGAACAGTCTGAACTCATTCGCTAAGAAACACAGCATGCAGGAGAAGAGAGAAGTCAAGTCAATCCCCAGTCCTTGGAACTGATCGCTTAACACCGGCGCACCCGGATCAGCACCTCTTTCGTCGGGTCTGGGAGGACGTTTGTCGCAAACTCAATGTTCTTGAAGCGCGGTTCGCCCTCCGGGTTCTTGATCTCGTAGTTGAGGAGGAATTCGGCAAACATTAGCTTGATCTCAACGTCGGACAAGAAACGTCCAGGGCATGCGTGTCTTCCAAAGCCCCAGCCCAGCTCAGTGCGAGTGACACTGACGAAAGAATGCTTGTGTTCCGAGCCTTCCTCCTGGCGTTCACGATATGAACGCATTCCGTCGAACTTTTCGGGGTTAGGATAGATCGCAGGGTCGTAGTTGATGGCGCTGGTCGGGAGCTCCATCTTCGTACCGGCAGGAATGTAGGTGCCGTCTTTCAGAGTCAAAGGCTTCGTTGCCATTCTTTGAAATGTGGCTAAACTCCGTCAGTAAATTTGAACATAATGACTGCGTATAAGCGAAATCGAAGCCGGAAGACTTACTCATGTCTGGTGCGCTCATGCGAAGACTCTCCTTCATCCAGCTGTCAAGCTTCTTCATCTCGGCCAGGGATTGTTTTGTGAAAACACCGCCTGACTTTTCAAGTACCTCCACCACTTCCATTCGAAGCTCCTCGGCCCGGTCTGGCTGAGCAGCCAGGTCGTACAGCACTTGAGTGACGGTCGATGACGTGGTGTGAATACTGGCAACAGCTAGTGTCATCTGAAGAATGAGTTGAAGCTCGAGATCATCGGCCTTGGAGGCGTGTGCCCCGCTAGTAAGGTGATCTAGCATTGTGGGTGGGTTCTCCAAAGGGGCACCTCCTAGCGCCTTCTTCCTGGCCAGGGATTTGGCAATGATCTCGCGACCCCCGGCCAGCTGCTGCTCCTTCTCTAGACGCTGGGGTAGGAAGTAGGCGACAATAGGTCGGAGAACAGGCGGCCAGGACTTCAAGGCTGATCCGTATTCTATGGCGGTATGGACGAATGATGTTGAGAGCTTGAGCCATGTGGGATTACGAGCAGCTTCTTCGCTGTGCATAATTCTCGCTGACATGATTGCTACCATCTCAAGCAGAGCTTCGTTGAGGTTTACGGGAGTCCATTCTACTCGTCATGTGAGTGAGTTTCCTACTTAGTAGGGTCAAAGCGGTTTAACACGGCATACCAGCGGGCAGACCAACAAGTTTCGGAAGGTGTTCTTGAATTAAGCCATGAAAGACGGGAACGTAGGCTCCTGCAGATTTGGTCAGCTCAGTCTCAACATGAAGGTTACGAGGAAGGTTTACCAAGTGTTGGGTTCATTTTGGCCAGAATCTGGTGGGCGCCCCAAGCCTCGACTCCTCCGACACTGGTGTAAGGCAAGAGCGCGTCCTGAGAAGTCAGTAAGTCTCAGTCTCCTGCTTTGAAGCAAGAGGTTACTCACATTGTCAATTGAAGCCTTGAAGCTCAGTGCTGGATGGCTTTTCAATTCATCAAGATATTGAAGCGGAAGCACGATTTTGGTTCCTATTAAAGTCAACTCAGAGTCACCAGACGATTGTTCACCCTGGAAATCTTACCATCCATGGTTTCCAACCCATAAGGCTTATTTTTGAACTGATTGATTGTCAGCATCCGAGTCTGTCATCAACCTTTTATCAAGGTCCGTCCTATCTTACCCGTTCGTAAAACTTGTCAAGGAGCTGTTTCGATAAAGGAGCGTATGCGCGCCTTCTTGCAATCGGATCAGACATTTCCTCCGCCAAAGGTATCGGAACTTTCAGTCTCCTCGTGGTGAGCTGCGTCAGAATTCCAAGAAGGCATGATGCGACGATGAGCCAAGTGATTGTCGAAATAAGATGGTCCCAAGTTAGGAGTGACGTGTCGAGATGAATCGTAGTAGGAAGTAGCGATTCCATGGTGCTGCTGAAATCCAGGTTGGAAGAAGAGGAATCCGAAGCTTTCGCACTATGGGTGCAGGAGAAATGGACGCTGGTCGATAGATGTCCACAGAAGTGTACGGTTCGTCTGGCTTTAGATTGTCTGAGCTTTGGTGATTTTTCTGATGAACTACAAATCTTAAAAAAAACATGTTCACCAAGGCGTGATTGCATATATAACTTTCCAAGTCGCATGAACACATTGCCACAAAACAGCAGTTTGGACGACGATTCGGGGAACTGGATCTTGGAACGGACGATGGCGACCACATCGGCCGGACTCTGGGCAAATACCGAGTCCTCCAGGCCAAGCCACCTACCATATCATGCACGGGTGGCCATAGCCACTACCAGACAAGATCATTGGTGACTAGGTAGACTGAATGCTCGGTGTCTCAGCTTGTCATGTTTCTGGACTTAGGGGAGCCGGTGGGAGAATGTAGGTCTTGGGTCAACTAGCGGGCCCTGCTCCGAGTTGTGGACATGAATATGGCTAAGCTCTTTATCCTTTAAATGATCCGTTGAGTGAACATCATCGGAATTGAAAGAATACCGCTGCTATTTGCTGGACATTAATGCCCTTTAGATCATTAAAGACTCTCGCCGCGCACTCGCTGTTTCTGGCTCGCGACGGATATGCGCAAGTTCCTAGTGACCTATATGCTTACTTTTCAGGGGAGACACGAGCAGAATATGATCCATCATACTGCGATTGAAACAGTGGTATTTGTGGATCTAGCAGTGCTAAAGTACCGCATACATTGTACGCCCTGTTGCCTATTCGTTGGACATCCAGTTTGGGGGCGAAGCTCAATGGAGACAATACGTCACCAATATCACCCCACGGCCTGCCGCCTTGCTTCTCGGCATTTCCCTTAATTCCGCAACTTGGTCTCCAAGTTCGAATTCTAACACCATCACCGAACCCTTAGGCAAAATGACTCCACGTGTTTCAGAATCAATCAAGGCGGACCGAGACAACATCTACGTCCGCTCAGCGTTCAATTACGTTGATGCGATCAACAAGGCAATTCCAGAGCTGACTCAGACCTCACTCGAGCGGGTGCGGTAAGTTCTTCCCATTTGTTCGTCCGGAAGCTTCGACAAAGATGTCTCCTGGAGACTCGCGTAACTATCCATCGTTCGCTAAGGTACTCAATTCTGATGGGAACAGAGACTGCATGAACAAACAAGCATTTGTAGAGCTAGCACCCTCAAGCATGACTCCACCGGGAAAGGAAGACAACATCAATAGCGCTGACGAACATGTTGCTTTTATCGGACTGATGCGTGGCCTGATCAAAGAGGCCAATGTGTGTCCTTTCTGCGTCTCCTATGGAGTTTCATCCTAACGTCCTCTACCAGAGGTGGAAGATGGGTTCTTGTTGTTGGGGCTAACCAGGCATCAGATAGAAATCTTTGACTGGGTTTACGCCGCTGGCCCTCGCGTGATCTTGCAAGCCAAAGCGAATGGCCGGTCTCACCACGGCCAACCATATGTCAACGATGTCGTTTTCTTCATGGACTTCGTTGACGTCAACGATGCTGCTGTGGACGAGTTCACTGAATTCCACAAGCAGGAAAAGCATCAGGATCGAGCCGGGCTGCCCAAATTGACTTTCATACGTGAATACATCGACTCGGCATTTTTCAAGGGCTACATGGATGAAGAACTGAAGCGCGCGAAAAGCAACAACGTGCCCTCCACATAGCTACAAATAGGACCCAACGATGGCTAGAACGGGCTGCCAAAGGGGCCAGAATGAAAGAATTCCCATGTTTGTTGGGCCAACTCAGCCACACGTGTCGTGAATAATGTGACGTTCATTTTGAGCCCTCTTGTCCATCAAAGTTTGGACAGGTCCACGACTAGAGTCTGCGGGATGTAACTTCAAGTGATCGACGCTGCCACGGGAAGTCTGTTACCCACTCAACGCCGCGGCCATTAATATCCGGCCGGGTTTCTTCCCCGGTCGAGTAGTCGATCTAATCTAGAGTTTCGGAACTTAGCAGGTGCCAAGGCGCCGAGTGTCCGCCTCCCACCGGCCGACTACAATACGGAGGAGATTGATGTGTATTCGGAGCTCGGTGCTTGCGGAGCCCGAATGCCCAGAAGCTCTAGATGCAACTGTTCAGGTGGCTGACGTACACGTGTAGCTGTCTGAGACTAAGAAGACAAAACTATTGTGGTTGCCAAGATAAGTCTCTTGGCATAGCCTTCAGTAAACAGAGAACGATGACTCGCCCTAGTCAATGATGGACGCGTGAAGCGGTGTGGGCTGTGGTTGTCATGAAGCGGACACCCGTTTGTCCGAATGTCCGCACTTTCAAACGTAAGCTTCCACAAGAGTCTCTTCTCGACTAGATGTTTCAATATTAATAGACGATATTCTGTTGAAAAAGTTGAATAGCTCCTCTCGAGTTTCTCAAGAAGGTTCCTCTTGGTGCGTAGAAATCATCATTAGCCTACAGCGCGCAACTCGTCTTTCCCTTTTGCACTCTCCACTGCCGCATGTAAACCCATCTTCGTTCATTTAAATGGCAAACATGCACTTAAGACTCGCCTCGATAGTGTATTTCCAACGTTTATTCACTTGAAGAGGGGTTCAACGTAGTGATCATCCGGTGTTTCTTCACGGACATACCCCATACTGTATGTGACTAAGCGTAACGCGCCTACGTGGAGTTGAAATTCCCCCGCAAAATTTGGTCAAAGTCTCGCGTAAGATTTTCTATCTATCCATGCAATCAGTGGACCAAACCAGCGCAGATTGATGGGAAATCTATCATCCCGCTAAAACCGTCTCCATCAAGTTTGCGGGGGACGAGATTCGCATATTCTTGTACGTAACATTATCAGCGACAACCACGAATGCCGGCTTGGCCCCCGAAAAGCTTGGCCAAGAATCTAACCATATCCAGACAGCTTGATGCAACCTGCTGACCCTTATCGAGGGATATGCGATTACTGAGCCCGAGAGAGCAGCATCCCGTCGACGCAATGGCCAATTATCCTTCCCCCGGGCCGGTATCTTCAGGGGTTTCGGCCAGCTAGTGGCGATACCGGTATCAATAAGGAGCTCTCCCCCGCGAAGTAGTCGCACCATCGCACCATTGGCATGCTGGCCGCCGCCGGGCACCTCACGTTCCCTGGGCTAACAGCGCCGACGGCGACATGTGGCAGACATAGAAGCCTGGTTACCGATATGATCCGTTACGTAGAGACTATATCCGAAGTTGTCATTATCTTGAGCTAAGACAGCACCGGGCCGGTGCATGTGTTCCGAATGTCTAACGACGCAGGTCCATCTGTTGTTGCTTCTGCCAATTTCTCCCGCAACTCCCCTTTGGAATCACCAAGTTCTTGGCGTATGGCCGATTCCCAGCAAGAGCCGACAATGGATCGCCAGAAGAAATCGCAAGGCGACGACGCCGCCATCGACAAGGCAATCACTTCGCGATCGGTCGATCAGCAGGATGTGCCAATCAACGCGTCCGGACACGTCCAGGAGCTCGAGCGGAACTTCAGCCTCCTTTCACTTGCCGGAGTCGGCCTCGTCGTCGGCAACGTCTGGCCCGCCATCGGAGGCTCCATCCTCGTCGCAATCTTCAACGGCGGCCCGCCCGGTGTCCTTTACGAGTTCATTGCCGTTTCCGTCTGCTACTGGACCGTCGCCGCCAGTATCGCCGAGCTCTCGAGTGCTATTCCTTCGTCCGCCGGTGTCTATCACTGGGCTTCCGTCACTCCTGGCCCGAGATGGGGACGCGTCGTCGGCTTCTTCGCCGGTTGGTGGAACTATCTCGCTTGGATTCTCGGCGCTGCGAGCATGGCGTCCATCTTCGGCAACACGGTCGTGCAGATGTACGCGCTCAACCACGACGGATTTGAGGCGAAGCCATGGCACGTCTTCATTGTTTACATCATCGCTACGTGGCTTGCGTGTGCTGTGGTCTGCCTTGCCAACAGCGCTTTGCCCCGGATCAACGACTTCGGCGTGTTTGCCATCATTGCTGGCTTCTTCATCACGATTGTGACCGTAGCGGTCATGCCCGGCCGGGACGGGCGTCCGCCGCACGCATCCTCTTCCTTTGTCTGGACCGAGTGGACCGCCGACATCGGATATCCGGACGGTTTCGTGTTTCTGGCCGGCATGCTCAACGGCGCCTTCAGTGTTGGCGCCGTTGACGCTACTACCCATTTGGCGGAGGAGATCCCGAATCCCCAGCGCAACGTCCCCATCGCCCTCGGCTTGCAGATGAGTATCGGCTTCACCACTGGCCTCTGTTATTTGGTTGCCATCATGTATGCAATCAACGATTACGATGCACTGTTCAGCTCCCCTTACCCTATCGCCGAAATCTACCGGCAAGCCACCGGATCTGCTGCCGGCGCCACTGGATTGCTCGCTCTGGTCCTCATCTGCATCGGTCTTACTTTGATGGGACTTTACATCACTTGTGGCCGCACACTCTGGGCCCTTGCCCGTGACGGTGCGAGTCCACGAGCTGACCTCATGGGCCACGTTAGCCCTCGGCTTGGAATGCCGATGTGGTCTACGGTCTCTTCGGCATTATTGGTCACTGTTCTTGGTGCCATCTATGTCGGCAGTACCACTGCTTTCAACGCCTTCGTCGGCAGCTTCATCCTTCTCTCAAGCAGCTCCTACCTCGCAGCTATTCTTCCCAATCTCCTGGCAGGAAGAAAGCGGGTGGCTTACGGGCCCTTCCATATGCGCGGATGGGTTGGCTTCTTCATCAACGGTGTTGCGTGCACTTACATGCTGGTATGGTTTGTCATCTACAGTTTCCCCTCCACTCTTCCGACCAATGCTCAAACCATGAACTACGCCTGTTTGATCTGGGGTGGTCTCACGATCTTTGTTGGTCTATGGTGGCTTGTTGGTGCTAGGAAGGGCTACCAAGGCCCAACAACGACTGGTGGTGTCGTCACAGAAGCACAATCGAGTGTTACTGCTTGAGGCACGTTTGAGGAGAATGTAGAGGTCGTTCCGTAGGGCAGTAATCTAGAAGCTAAGGCGAAATCTTGGACATACAACTTAAGGATAAATGTTGCTGCCTTCGCTGTGAAACGAGAAAGATGCTGAAGAGAACGTCGCAGTCCTTTGCCTTGATACATCGAACTCCTCACCGACTCTAGGTGAGTCTCTTTTCCCCTCAATGACCCAAATGCCACCTCCAACCCTGACGAGACTCAAGCATCGAATCGGAACGCCTCCTTTCTTCTCTCATTCTCCTCCGATGTCACACCTGCAATGGCCTTGACTGCCTCTCCCTTCATGACCTGGGCGACTGTCTTCTGGCCACTTGCGAGCTGCTTGTTGTATCGAAGGAGAATGAACCGTAAGACAAGGGCCGTGCATATAGCGAGGAAAGCGCCGCTAGCATTGACACTCATGGCCAGTACGTGATGAGGCGCGTCGGAGTCTGGGTAAAGATAAGAGGTCCAGACCTGAAAGAAACCACGTTAGCATACAGTTTGGGCCGCTGAAACCGGGGTTCTGAGCTTACTTGACTGGTGTTCGCAAGAGCATTGACAATGGCTACGGCAGAGGCGCGCTTGATGCGTGGTCTGATCATGGTCTTCTGTACCCAAGCCAACAACACCGCGTTCGTGCCGTATGCGCCAATGGTCATGCAGAACATGGAAAAGTATCTGGGCGCCGTACTCAAAGTTGTTGCGGCAATGATGTATCCCATGATGGCAATGCACATGGGCCAAATGATGTGAAAGCTTGCATTGTGAGTTCGGTCGGCCGAGTAGTTGTTGGCGATGGAGACGCAGAGAGAAACGAGGTAGGGCGGCGCAGTCAGGAGAAGAGTCTTGACGCGACCATACCCCAGAGTGTCGACGATATCGGGGAAGAAGTTGCCAACCGCAGAGCAGACCTAAGATACCGAGTCAATGCTTCAAACTCATGATGTAGGGGTATAATGTTACCTGGATGCAGATGAAAAGGAAGGTAAAGAGGTAGATTCTCCAATCCATCAAGGCAAGCTTGAAGCCATAGGACCATGGCTCATCGTCTTCGTCAACCTGTCCGGCGTCCTTGACGAGACGCCATTCAGCAACAGCTCGCTCCTTGGCAGTCAGCCAGGATGTAGTCGAGGGCCAGTCGGGGAGCAACCAGATGGCGAAGACTCCAACGAAGATGGTAATGCACCCTATACTAGTTAGGACTTTTACTTTGAGAAGTTGTTGGGCAAATTCTGCGATGCTTACCCTCAATGATGAACAGCCAACGCCATGATTCGAGACCTTTGGCGCCGTCGAGAGAATGTTGAATACCCGCGCCAATCAGACCGGAGAAGGCACTTCCCAGTTGACTGCCGGAGAACAAGATGGCTCCGCGGAAGCCCATTTCATCTCTCTTATACCATGATGAGATCAGGAATAGCGCACCAGCTGTGGAGATAGTCAGTTCTGAGATTACTGAGGCCATTGACACTGCATTAGGACCACTCACGCAGAAAGGCTGCCTCGACGATTCCCAAGAAGAAACGAATGGCATAAAGTCCTGAAAGATTGGTGACGGCACCCGTAGCTGCGGACATGCCACCCCACACGACGACACAAGCGGGAATGAAAAGAGATGGCCGAATCTGGGTAAGGTAGATGTTCGAGGGGATTTGCATGAGGATATAACCGACGAACAAGATCGAAACCGCCGTCTCGTACTGAGTGTCGTCGAGT